TTGAACTCCCGAGAAACCTCAATGAGCTTGGTTACCGTGTGGATATGGTCGATGGTGCTGAATCCTTTGCGGAACCCTGCTTGCTCGCATGGTTGTCCTTCATCTAGTGTTCTGCCAATCCTATTCAGGATGACTCGAGTGAACAGCTTGTAGATGACAGACAATAGGCAGATCGGGCGATAGTTGCCAATGTCATGGATGTCTCCCTTCTTGAACAGTAGTACGGTCCTGCTGGTTTTCCATTGGGACGGAACCTTGCATTCAGACAGGTAGCGAGTGAAGAGCCGAGCCAGTGTATTGATGAGTACTGACGGCAGGTTCTTCAGGTGTTCAGGTCTGACCTTGTCTGGGCCGGGTGCTGTTTGCTTCTTTACCAACGAAATGGCGTGTCGGATTTCGGAAGGGAGAACGTTGGGAACGACATACCCATCCTGTGGAATTTGGTATGTCGGCAAGTGGACATGGCTATCGAAGAGATTTGAGTAGAAGTCATGGATAATCTTCTCCATTGCCGTTCTGGAGGATGTGATGGATCCATCAGGACGTCGGAGGGCAGTCATCTTGGTCTTATAGTTGGCGAAGGACAGGCGGGCGTTACGAATACTTTTCCCGGCTTCTGCCGCATCTATCAGTACTTCTGCTCTTCTCTCTTTGAGGTCTTCCTTGATCGCATCTCTGCACTGCTTTGCAAGCTCGGACGTTAACTTGAGGTTGCCTGAGGCATGCGCCAAACCACGCTGGCGAATTAGCTCAAGAGTTTTCGAAGATAGGCGACTTTTTGTGGCTATCTCTCTCTTGGCGTTCCTCGCACATTCATGGAGGTGCTGAACCAGTCGATCGTATTCCTCGTCAATGTTGTCAACAATGGCATCTTCCCATGTTGCCGCAATAGTACCAAAGAGTTCCCAGTTGGTGGTCATTCTGGGAGTTCTCTTTTTGAACTTTGCAGCCCTTTCTCCCCGCTCTGTGAAGTAGAATTTTGCACGAAGGAGACGGTGGTCCGATCCCGTTCGAAATTTTGGGACAACAGCGACATCAGTCAGGCAAAACCGTCGATTGAATATGATGTGGTCTATTTCATTGTGGAATCGTCCACCGGGAGACTCCCATGTCCATCGTTTAGATTCTGCCTTCTGGAACTGTGAGTTACCATGAATGGTCTTGGTCGACATGATGAACTCAGACAGTCTCTCACCCTGTTCGTTCCATTCTAGGCCATGGGTCCCGATGTGAAGTTCTTCAGCTGATCTTCTCGGTCCTATCTTGGCATTAAAATCACCCACAATGATCTTGTAGAAGGTGTGGTCTTCTTTATAGAACTTCTCTAGCTCCATGTAGAACTTCTCGATTTCTCTTTCATCATAATGAGATGTTGGTGCGTAGACAACGAAGATAGAAACTGCAGGCAGTGAGCCACATCTATTCAAATGTAAACGTCCAATTCGTGTTGTTAGGCATTCGAATGAATCAATGCTCTTGGCCAAGTTTGTGTTGACAAGGACACCGACGCCTCCAACACCTCTTTTATCGCATGGTACTTCCACTACCCAGCCGTCGCCACACTCCAGGACGCTTTCCGGACCCGCGCGGCCGCAAGCGGCCGCGCGACACATCATAAGACACTAAATACCCATCTTCTGGAATTGTCGTACCATATTTGATAGGGTTCAAATATGGTAACACCTACAAGGGTGATTAGAGGCCACCCCAAAAGCCTCTATACCTCTCGGAAAGACTGGCAAGCTTCCGAGAGTATTCCGCCCGCACGGAAGAGCCTGGCAAGCTATCCGCTGTGTATTCGATATGCCAAAACCAGTAACTACAACTGGTCTCATTCACCTGACCCTGAAGGCTTCACCGACATGGCAGCACTGAGAAGGATGAGAAAGGAGAAGCCGACAAAATCTCAAGGCCGACCTAGGCTGCCACAACGAAGGAAGACAAAAATGATCGTCTGTACTTTCAATGCACGTACGCTAGCATCAGATGCATCCATCGAGGACCTGATGGTACAAGCGCGAATGATCAAGTACGACATCATTGGTCTGACCGAGACAAGAAGGCACGAATCTCACCATGCTGTTTTCGACACCGGAGAAGAATTGTTCCTCGGAACAAGCATCCATATCAATCTCCCGGTATCCCATATGGATATCTGGCATCCCAGATGGTCTTTCGAGCACCACTAAGAGTAATTCCTGAGTGCAGAACCAGGAGTAACTCCTGAGCATTGCCATGTGTGACCCAAAAAGCACATAAATAAATAATAAGAGCCCCTTATGGGGTGGTATCCCACAGTCAAGAAGGTAGGCACTAGGATGGCTGTTGTTAGTTTTATTTATTTATTTTTACCTGAGGCCACCCCAACTAGCTCAGGGTTTATTCCTGGCTCACTCTGTGTCCAGGGATCACTCCTGGCAGAGCTTGGGGAACCATACTCCATGCCAAGGATTGAACCTGTGTCTGCTGTGTGCAAGGTGAAATCCCTACCCACTCTACTAGCTCTCCAGCCTTAAAATGTAAATTTTATGTATATTTCCCTCAACAAAAAATTGTGGGGGCTCTTGGACCACATCTGGCAGTGCTCTGGGCACCGACCCGGGACAACTACATGCCAGGGGAGTATGCTACCCCGTACTACCTCTCTAGCTCCTCAATGAAAATTTTAATTTGGCCTTTATTTTGCAGTGCCAAAGTTTAAACCCAGGGCCTTACACATGCAAGGCAAGCACTCTGACTGAATGACATCCTGCCCCAACAAAAATTTTAATAGAGCAATTCTGTGGATAATAATTTTAAAAAGCATATACACAGTGAGTACAAGGAGAGACATAGGGGAAGGAGTTAATAGAAGGAGAAAGTTTGGGAAATTCAGTAAATCAGAAATTTAAGATCAGTGGCTGTGGCACTTTGTGAGTAATTGATAAATATTTGCAAAATAAACAAGACAATAACAGAGAGGGATTTTGAGAATTTAACTGTGGTTAAACATTGTGTTCCCCTTACATTCTGAGAGAAACAAAGTGAAGACTGAATTTTTTTTTTTATTTTTGTTTTGGGACCACTCCCACTAATGACAGGGCTCACTCCTGGGTCTGTGCTCCAGGATTACTCCTGGAGGGGTTTAGGGCCTGTATGAAGTTCCCAGGCCCAGGTCAGCCAAGCACAAAACAAGTACACTACCCACTGCACTACTGGCCCCTCAATTCTTTTTTTTTTCTTTTTTACTTTTTTGCTTTGCTTTTTATGGGATGGAGTGATAGCACAGCAGGCAGGGCGTTTGCCTTGCACGCAGCCAACACGGTAGGGCTGGGTTTGATTCCTCCGCCCCTCTCAGAGAGACCGGCAAGATACGGAGAGTATTGCGCCGCACAGCAAGCTACCCATGAGGTATTGGATATGCCAAACACAGTAATAAATCTCACAATGGAGACGTTACTGGGCCCGCTGGAGCAAATCGATGAACAATGGGAGGACAGTGAGTGCTACAGTGCTTTTGCTTTTGGGGTCACACCCGGCGATGCTCAAGGGTTACTCCTGGCTCTGCACTCAGGAATTACTCCCGCCAGTGCTTGGGGGACCATATGGGATGCCGGGGATCGAACTCTGATCTGCTGTCTGCAAGGCAAACACCCTACCTGCTGTGCAGTGTCAGGGATCGAACCCTGGCCTCCTGCACATGCGCGCAGCTCACTGAGTTATCTCTTGGTCTCTTCTTTGGGCTTAGAGTTTAGGGGGTACTGGTCGCCACTTCCTGTGCTACTCTTGACAACGGGTCAAAGGTACAGTACTAAAGTCTGAGAATGCGGCAAGATGTGATGCAGGGTCCAGTGCTCTGGACCAACCACAGAGCTACAACGTATAGTGCAGTATTTGGTGTGTGTATGGTGGGGGGAGGGAGTCTATGTCCCTGGGGGATTATGTAACCAGCACCTCTGTGCTCTGTGCTATCTCCCTGTCCTAAACCTTGACTCTGAATACAAAACCTTGTGGGATCTAAGCCACAAGGAGCCCTGGGCACGGGAGGATTAAGATGAGCCCGGCAGGGTAGGGGGCATCCTACTTGAATCACATAAGGGTTTGTCTAGGAGACTTTTGGCCTTAGCGGAGTCTGGCCCAGTGCGAGAAAGAACGACATTGGGGAAGAGCAGAGGAGCAAAGGCTAGAGCGAGGGGCTCCGGGGAGCCCCGTTCAGGCACCCACAGCTTTGCATCTCAGCCAGTTGCTCTCCCACCGCTCAGGAGCCCATGCGGTACAGGGGACCAGCGCAGGGACCCTGTGCGCGGTCAGCTCCTGCCCTCTGAGCTGTCTCCCAGCCTAGCAGTAGGATCTGTATTAAAGATTTCTGGGTAGCTGCTACAGGTCATTAAGCCCCAGAGAAGGAGCCGGAGCAATAGTACAGCAAGCAGGCAGGGAGTCGGCCTTGCACCTACACAGCCAAGCCGTTTGGACCCCTCAGCATCCCGTGCGGTCCCTAGAGCACCAGGAGTAAGCCCTGAGCATCGCCCCGGTGAGTGTGGCACCCCAAATAAACACATGCATAAGCAAATTTGAAAAATAAACAGAGGGGCTGGAGCAATAGCACAGCAGGTAGGGCGTTTGCCTTGCACGCGGCCGACCTGGGTTCAATTCCCAGCATCCCATATGGTCCCCCGAGCACCGCCAGGAGTGATTCCTGAATGCAAAGCCAGGAGTAACCCCTGAGCATTGCCGGGTGTGACCCAAAAAGCAAAAAAAAAAAAAAAGAAAAGAAAAGAAAAGAAAAAGAAAAATAAACAGAGCCCCAGCGGAGGAAGTTGATCCCTTCGACAAGCCGGCTCCGGGGTGGGGGTGGGGTGGGGTGTGTATGTCTCTCGTCCGCGGCCTGGCTTCAGCCCGGGCTTCCAGCAGGGGGCGCGCCCGCGCGAGGGCGCGGAGCCCCGCACCCTTGCCGCTCTAGCCTGGCGCTCAGGTCATAGAGCGGCGCCGCTTCCGGCCCCCGCGGCGGGGCAGGAGCCGGAAGTCCGGGAGCTCCGGGCCGTCGAGATGGAGGAGGGCGGCTACGAGTCGGTGCTCTGCGTCAAGCCGGAGGTGCACGTCTACCGCATCCCGCCGCGGGCCACCAACCGCGGCTACAGGTGACAGCGGGCCTGTTCCTCGCGGGCCGCCGGCCCCGACGTGGACGACACGCCCCCAACCCCCCGGCCGGCGCAGGGGCGAGGGCAGGGGCGCCCCAGCCCGGGGCAGGCGGCCCAGCCAGGCCCCGCCGCGGGGAGAGGGAGGGTCAGATCTGTCCCCTGCTCAGCCTTCACTCAGGGCCTGCACAGGGGGCTTGGGAAAGCCCCAAGCAGGAGGGGCTAGTGTCCGGCCCAGAACCGGCCGGCTCAGCCGAGACCGAGGCGCTGGACAGTTCCTGGCAGCTGCTCCTGCCCCAGCCCGGGCCCCCCTGCGGGAACGTTCTCCAAAACCCAGCACGCACTTGCTTGTCAAGGCGTCCAGGGGAGCGACGGGCAGGGAAGGCAGGCGCTCTCGTTTCTTTGCTTGTCATTGGGGGGAGGGTGTCCGGTAGCCACATCCAGCGGTGTTCGAGGTGGGCTACTCCCTCCATCTCGGTGCTGGGGCGGGGGTTCACCCCCCTCCCCCGGCTGTGCTCCAGGGAAACGCTGCATTGCTGGATGGAAGCAGGGCGGGCTTCCCCTCCCCTCCCTACCCACCCTCAGCAGTCCTTTGTTGCACCATCTCCCCAAACCCCTTGTTTACATTTTTTTTGTTACTATGCTTGTATCCTAGGTTTCATAAGATCTAGAGCACTAAAGGAAAAAAAGATCTGATTCCAGGCACCCTGGTGTATGTCTTGTCTAGTGCAGGAGCAGAGCAGGGAGTGATGGTGGCAGTGGAAGAGGACAGTGACCCAGTTGTCTGGAGAGACAGTGGTGGCCGGCACCTGGAGAGTGAGGCAGGGCTGGGGCGTCTTGTCACCCTCCCACTGTATTCACAGGGGCTTCTAGTGAGCAGACATTTTATTGAGCCCCTACTACATCCATGACATAATTGGGGGAACTTTGGGCCACACCCTGCTGCGCTCAGGGGCTTTTGCTGGCTCTGTGCTCCTGAGTGATTCCCCGGTGGTATGGGGGATTCAAACCAGAGTAAGGGGATGCAAGGCACACCCCTTATAACCCCTGTGTGTACCCTGTACTATCTCTTCTTTCCGGGGGACGGAATTTTTAGAGTTCAACTGTGCCAACAAAAGCAAAACACGTTTGCTTTCTGTCTCCGTGCTAACCCAGAGTGGCCTTCTTCCCCAGTTGCGTTCAGTAGGATGGGCTTGGGCCCTCTTGGTTCCCCAAAGAGGGACAGGGCTGGCGAATCTGGCCAAGAGGAAACTGCTTTTGTCTCTCCGTTTGCATCTCCCAGTTCTGCTTAGTTTGAATCTCAGGCTCCCCAGCCGCCGGAACAGGAACCGAAACTGCATGGGCTGATCTGGGTGCCGCACCCACAGTCAGGCTGTCCTCAGCACTTTCTCCACAATTGTCATTTGTTCAGGGACTTCCAAGGAAAGCCTCCCGGAAACACCCCCAAGTTCTTATTATTCGGGGTTGGGGGTTACTGAGCTGCCACGCAGAACTCAAATGTGAAATTCTTGCTTGGAGAGATGCTATTGCTATAGCTGTCAATTCTTCATCTTCTGGGTGACTGCTTTCCCTCTAACACATCTTTTGAGAATTCTTTGCTGGTGTTGGAACCACTCCCTGTAGGGCTACAGAGACAGCTGTGTGGTGCCAGGATCAAATCCAGAACATCTCACCTGCAGGACTGTGCTCTGCCACGGGGACCACATTGCCAGCCTGAGAATATATTTCTTTATTTTGATATTGGGGCCACAGGCAATTGTGCTCAGGGCTTACTCCTAGCTCTGCACTCAGGGATCACTCCTGACAGGCTCGGGGAAACATATGGAGTGCTGGGTGTCAGTCCTGAGTGCTGCCCGCAAGGTGCACGCATATAGCGACCTTACTCTCTATATCTGTAGTCCATTTAGGGAATTTTTTTTTTTCTGTTTTGGGTGCGATGCTGTACTATCTCTTCCTTCCGGGGGACGGAATCCAGCGATGCTTAGGGCTTACTTCTGGCTCTGTGCTCAGGGATCACTCCTGGTGGGTCTGGGGTACCACATGTGGTGCTGGGGAGCAAACCAGGTCTACCAGGTGCAAGGTAAAAGCCCTGCCAGTTGTACTCTCACTCCAGCCTATTTAGGGAAATTTTTAAAGACTCTTTCTTCGTGTGAAAATTCTGTGGTTTAGATTCCAGTGAAGTAAACCATGACATGATTCTCAGCTAACATACTGAAAGCACCACAATAGAGACACACACACACACACACACACACACACACGTTTTCTGTGACTGATCCCACCTGCAGTGGCAGAGGGAACAGCTACAATAGAGAGCCATTACCTGGCTCCATTTTTTCTTTGGGTGGGGGTGTTGGGCCACAATCCATAATGCTCAGGGGTTTTCCTCACTTTGCTCTCAGGAATTACTTCATTTTTAAAAAGTTCAGTTGTCTTTTTTCCCCCCACAGTTACAAAGATGTTGATTGCTTTATAGTCATACAGTGTTTCTTCTCTTCACCAGTGTATATTTCCCAGCACCAGTGTTTCCAGTCTCCCCCACTCTCTCTCTCCCTCCCTCCCTCCTTCTCACATTTCTTGGGGGATCATACAGGATGCCAGGAATCAAACCCGGGCCAGCTGCATGCAAGGCAAGCACCTTACCTGCTGTACTATCTCTCTGACCCCCGCTTTTAGAAAAAAAAAGTTTGTCGGTTCTAGGTTTTGGTTTTGGTTTTTAATTTTTGTTTTTGGGCCACACCTGGCGGTGCTCAGAGGTTACTCCTGGCTCTGCACCCAGGGATCACTCCTGGCGCGTTTGGGGGACCATATGGGATGCTGCTGATGGAACCCAGTGGGCTGCATGCAAAGCAAGCGCCCTCCCCACTGTACTTTTTGGCCGCCAGAGACTGACTTCTTAAACTGGCTCACAACCCTGTATGGGTTCACCTCTCTGTGGATGTCACAGAAAATTATTTTAAAATAAGTTTATGGCTTACTGCCAGTGAACCTTTGATCAGAATACCTACCTACTTTATTTACCTGGGATTGCTTAAAATTTTTCTCTTGACGAAAATGGGCTGCAGGTGAGAAAGTTGGAGCAGCCCTGGCAGGGCGACTAGAACATGCAAACCCGAGCCCTTCTTACTTCTGGGCCCTAGAGTGGGAGCCGCTGGCTTATTGGGGTTTTTTTGTTCCCATAGGGCTGCAGAGTGGCAGCTGGACCAACCATCATGGAGTGGCCGGCTGCGGATCACTGCGAAGGGGCAGGTGGCCTTCATCAAACTAGAAGACAGGACCTCAGGTAAAGCCAAGGGAAGCCTGTGCAGGGCCCCATTTCTGAAGGGAAACGTGTCCCAAGGGCCCTTGATGCCACCTGAGCTGTAGACACCACTGTCCCTGGTGTAAAGGGAACATTTCCTGTCAGACACCGGTTCCTTTTGGGGGGGTCCTGAAGAAAATGCTAGTTCGGAGGCCAAGGAGAGGGGCGGTCCAGGTTAATCCCAGAGCTTTCTCCTGGGAAGATGAGCTGGGTGAAGACTCACAGCCTCTGTTGTGGGGCTCTTCCTCAGGAGTTTGTTTATCGTCTAAGCGCAACTTCCCAGAGCCGACCACACCCACTAACTGCCAGGGCTGGAAACCAGCCTGCTCAGCAGTTTCTGTGGTGAGAGACAAGCCCTGCCGGTTCAGGGGGCGGTATCAGCTGGCAAGGGTCACTTGGGGAGCTCTCCAGAAGGCCTGTGCCATCCGTGCTGCCTCTGGGTGGTCTGTGGCGGGAAGCACGGCCCAACACAGCCCAACCCCAGCCCACCGAGCAGAGAGCCAGCATGGGCCTGGCTCGGCCAGGAGCCTCGGCCTCCAGTTTCTTTCTCCGTTCAGATCAGAGACTTGCTGGGTGAATTGGCATTGAGTGCAGACATTCCCGGGCAGAACTGCCTGCCTCTCCTCAACACAGTGCCGCCAGCTTGACTGTGGGTCCGTGGGCCAGCCACGTGACCTCTGGCATTGTGGCCTCCGTTTTGATGAAGTGGAGTTCAGGCCAGAGCAGGAATTGAGGATTCTGAATAGGCAGCAGCTGTGGCTTGGCCAGAGCTGAGATTTGCTGGATTTCCCCTGCTGCTGTCATGAGGGAAAGGTCACACCTGTTTCCTGGGGCCTTGGGAATCGTGACCTTTGCATATGACCGAGCCTCGTTTGCAGGGTCCCCCCTGGAGACCTCTTGTTATTCAAAGGGGCCAGGGTTGAAGTTACTTACCTCACCCATAGCCAACCTGGGTTTGATCCCCTGCACCCCATATGGTGTGGTCTCCTCGCCATCTCCCACCCCAGCAATTGCCGGGGGTGATCTCTGAGGACAGAGCCAGGAGTAAGCTGTCAGCAGCACCAGTCTCCCAAAAGAAAAAGAATGAGCCAGACATTTTATTTTGTTCCATATAATCCGTTTGGCAGTTTGAAATATGAACTGTGTGGGGGATGAGATCTGTAAGCTGGCACTCCTGCCTGTACCTTTCCGTGGGTCCAGAGTGGACCCAGTCTGGGTTCCAGAGGACAGTTGGCCTGCCCGCGTCACAGGAGCTAGGGCCTGCAGGAACAGGGTGACCTCGGAGGGGACGCCGCAGGCTCACCTTGGGGTGTGCTTTCAGGGGAGCTCTTTGCCCAGGCCCCAGTGGACCAGTTTCCTGGCACAGCCGTGGAGAGCGTGACAGACTCCAGCAGGTACTTCGTGATCCGCATCGAAGATGGAAATGGTAGGCACGGGCCGAGGTGCGTGATCCCCCTGAGAGAGGGGCTGTCTGCCTCAAGAGTGGCCCTGACCATGTGCTGTCCCCAGGGCGACGGGCATTCATTGGAATCGGCTTCGGGGACCGAGGAGATGCCTTTGACTTCAATGTTGCGTTGCAGGACCATTTCAAGTGAGTGGCGCCCGGCGCTTTCTCCTCTCTCTCTGGCCAGATTGCTGTCCTCATCAGACACCCAGGTGGTTGGGTGTGATTTTTCGGCTGGCAGAGCCTCAGGAAAACCTGGGGCTCCTTGGGAGCAGGTCCTCTCATTAGCTTCCTTCGGGGGGTTGGGGGGAGTGTGTGTGTGTGGGTGTGTGGGTGTGTGTGGGTGTGTGTGTGTCCTCTCACTAGCTGTCTTCAGAGGGTGTGTGTGTGCGTGTGTACATGAGTGCCTTATCTCAGTCTCGGGCCAAGTTCTGGGAGAAGAGGGCCAGGCCCTCTTGTTTCCTGGAAACGAGTGGGCCCTTTGCATAGACAAGTGCCTTCTTTGAGTTTCCCTCGAATTCTGTAAGAGGTATAGAACTGTCATTCCCTTAGGCTGGTAAAGTAATGTCATTCTGTGAGGCATGAATTCAGGCCACACTGCCACACCTGTTCTCTTTGTTCTTGCTCTTGGGGACTGGCAGGGGGCCTGACGTGGGGGTGGGGTGCTGAGTCTGTGATTCACCCCCCTCTTTCTCTTCTCTCCTCAGGTGGGTAAAACAGCAGTGTGAATTTGAAAAACAGGCTCAGAACCCAGACCAGATCCCCAAGTTGGACCTGGGCTTCAAAGAGGGCCAGACCATCAAGCTGAACATTGCGGTGAGTGCCCTGCATGAGTGTCCCCTGAGGCCCATCGCTCCTCCCACAGAGCACCAACACTTCCCCATCTGCTGCCAGGAAGCCGAGTTGAGGGAGAAAAACGTGATGAGAGAAGAGCTTGTCCAATCTAGAGCTGCCCTCAGTGCAGCCCAGAGATAGGGGCCCAGGAAGGCATCCTGGGAGCAGCAAGCGATGAGGAGGGGCTCTGAGGTGACTCATGCCGAGGGGATAGTGTCTTCAGAGCCTTGTCCCGGGTGGAGAACGGGGGTCAGCATGCTTGTCCCCAGTAGTGTCTTGGCCTGGGGCCTGGAGTGAGCGCCCTGTGGGAGTTGGGGCCCGCTCCATGCTGGTGCTGCTGGGGGGTCCTTGTCCTGAGCAGCCCTGCAGACTGCAGACCTGGCACCCCTTCAGCTCCTCCTGAGAGTCAGGAAAGGTGGGGCTGGGTTGGGTTGCCAACATTTGGCCTTTACCTGCCTACAAAGGTGGAGATGGAGTGACTTGGGGGAAACCAACAACCTCATGGACTTTTTTGTCGGAAGCAACTTGTAATGCTTAAATAATGCTCTTTCTCTTTACTTCTGTCTCTCCTCTGTTCTGCTTCATGCTGGTGATGATTTGGGACCCTTGAAGTTGGCCGGCTGGCCCTTAAGAGGAAATGCAGGTCCTACCCAGTGGACTGGTTGGGCTGTGATTCTTTCTCTTGCTTGGAAGGACTAACATTTAATGATCATCGGCTGTGTGCCAGGTAGTGTTGGTTTTTCTGTTTTGTTTTTCAGGCATTTTCTCCTAGAAATCAAAGAGTCGCCCTTTTTGTAGCAAGATGGACACTCAGAGCTCAGGACCTTACGCGGCCGCACTCACACTGCGGTCTGGTTCCCGGTTCACTACTTGTGATTGAGCTGCTGTCCTCCTCATGTGCAGGGCACACATCTGCTCCGGTTTTATTACTCATGCTAGTTTCTGGCTCTGATTCGGTGCCCAAGGGTTTGGCCACTTTCTTAGGTTTTGTTTTTCCAGGGGTTGGGGTCGAACATGGCCTCACACCTGCAAGACAAATCTGATCTACAAACAGGCCAGCTTGAGTTTGTTTGCCTTTTAGATTTTTTCACTGAAGTGTACATATGCATATACAAAAGTGCATGTTTTATAAGTGTAGGGCTCAGTGAAGTTTTTTTTTTTTTTTTTGTGGGGAGACCACACCCAGCAGTGCTCAGGGTTTACTCCTGGTTTTGTGCCAGGTGGTGCTTGGGGCCCCTCTCTGGTGCCAGGAAGCCAACTAGCGTTGGCCACTTGCATGGCAAGCACCTTCATGCTAGGACTGCCTCATCTGCCCTTGTGATTTTTTTTTTTTTGGTGACATAAAACAGTTTCTATTAAAAACAATTAGATGTGAGGGGAGAGAAAGGGAGAAGTACATGTTTGAGAGAGAACATGGGCTTCTCCAGAATGGAAATTAGTAAACAGAGGTAAGCAAGTAAGATGCGTATTTAAGGGAGAAATTGGACTCAAAGAGCAAGGCCCTCAGTGAATTGTTAAGAGCCAAATGGTGTCTACACACAGCGTCTCCCAGATCCAGAAGCAGATCATTTGTGCTCAAAGGCCCTCTCCTCTTTCCTTCCACTAAGCACTGCTTCTGGTAACAGCTCTCCTGACGCTGAAGCTCTGGGCTTTGCTCTTGACTTTCATCAGGGATCGTAAGCTTTCTCTTCCTTTGCTAGCGTAGGGTTGGTGAGAGCCTGCGGGCTGCTGCAGATGGTGTGTTCGTTCTCATTGTTGGGAGAGTGTGGCCAATCCCCTTCCTGTTGAGCAGTGAGCACTGCACTGTGGGCCTCTTACAAGTAGTGTTGCTGTGACGGGCCAGCTGTGTGTCTTAGCACAGCCTGTGTTTCTGCTGGGGATCTAGATGTCCGGGGTGGAACCTCACCATCAGAGTTCACGTGTCCAGCTTCATAGATTTCTTTTGACTGGTTCTCAAAGGTCCCCAGTGGCCAACGTGTCTGCTGGTTGCTCCACGCCCTGCTCAGTACTTAGTAGCCTCTGATCCTGCCATTCCGGTGCCCGGAGCTTTGCTTTGTGTTTCCCTGCTGAGCCGTGAACCCGGGCAATCGGATTGCCACGAAACGCGCTTGTGCTCGCTGTCAAGGGAGATGATTGAGCAGCGCCCAAGGGTGAATGGCCTCGGACCAGGTTTTGGTTACAGACGTCTGGGCCCTGAGGACGTGGCCCTGTTCAGAGGATTTTCTGCTGGCCGGGGACTCCTGCGGAACTGACACCCTTGCATTCCTCTCCTTTAGAACATGAAGAAGAAGGAAGGAACAGGGACCCCGCGAGCCCGGCCTGCGAGCACCGGGGGACTAAGCCTGCTCCCGCCTCCCCCTGGGGCGAAGGCCTCCACTCCGGCCCCTCTCCCCGGGGAGCACGTGACCGTGGAAGGGTCACTCATCCCGCCGGCAGTGGCTCCTGGCTCAGGTGAGTGCTGGCTGTCCCTGCCGCTAGTCTACCCTGTGGCCCGTGGGTACAGCTGCCGTCCTCTGGCTCTCCCTCCCTCACACGCGCCCATCTGCCCCTTAGTCCCTGGACATGATGACCAAAGGTGAGCACCACACAGAGACCTCTCACACAGACGCACAGCTTCCTCTGAGCCCCTGATGCTCACTACTCGCCCTCGGGAGGGTCTGTCTTCCTCTGTGCACAGGACCCATGCAATCATCAGCAGATGGGATCCTACTTCTGGGGAGCTAGTCAGTGGGTACTGAGCTAGTGGGGGATACAGACGGGCTCCTGTCTAGTAGGAGAGAGTGTCACAGTCATAACCACTAAACACATGGAGACCACTGGCATAATCTGGGAAGGCTTCATGGTAGAGGTGTCACAGCGTTGGGCCTTGAAGGAAGGAGAATGGGGCAGGGGACACATTGCCTTCCAGACAAAAGAAGGGCATGAGTAAGGCACTGTGGGAGATGGAGGCAGTTTGGGATCTACTGGGGGAGTGGTGAGAAGTAGACTGGGAGCATGCCCCTCAGGGAGACCGGGGTGGGTGGGGGCGGTGGGGTCCTGGGGTGCACACTGGCCCCTTTCCCAGGCAGCTGCGCTGGTGCTGTTCCATGTATGAGGGTGTCTGTGGAGACCCTGCCAATCTAGGAGTGTCTTTCTTTGTTTTCTTTTTGGGTCACACCTGGCAATGCACAGGGGTTACTCCTGGCTCTAGACTCAGGAATTACTCCTGGTGGTGCTCCCATGACCATATGGGATGCTGGGAATTGGACCCAGGTCGGCCGCATGCAAGGCAAACGCCCTACCCACTGTACTACCGTCCCAGCCTTCCAGGAGTGTCTTGTGCAAGCCTCGAACAGTCTCTCAGCCTCCCCTCCTGGCTTTATGGGCCAGTCGGAAGCTGATATGGCACCCCCAGCACACAGTTGTCCCAGGCCCTCACTCACCAGGCACTTTGGGGCAGGGTCAGCAGGAAGCTGCTGCTTTTCCCCCCCTGAAGCCTGAACATTGGGAACTTTGAACCCCTGTGTGGAGGACCCATCCCCCATCCTAGTAGTGTGGCCAGGGTAGCCGACAGCTGACCACTCTTGAGATCAGGAGTCTTATTTTGGGGGGTGAGGGACGCTGGGTTGAGTTACACCTGGCTGTGCTCTGAGCTCACAGTAGCTTGTTGGGAAGGACGGGGCAGGCCTGTGGCAGCACTGACGAAAGTGCCACAGAAACCGGTCTCACTGCCTCCTGGTTTGCTCTCAGTGAAGAGGCAGAAGAGGTACCTGGGGCTGGTGTGTGTGACGCTACATGTTTCCTTGTACACAGCCAACATGGGTTCTATACCTGGTGTCCCATATGGTCCCCTGTGCCTGCCAGGAGTGATCCCTGAGCACAGAGCCAAGAGTAAGCTGTAAGCATTGCCAGGTGTGGCTCCAAAAAAAAAAAAAAAGCCAAACACAAAGCAAAAGTACCCGCTTTCGGTGGGCTCCCTCCAGGTCCAGTCACTTTGACTCCTCAAACTCCGAGCATGCCTGGCTTCTAATTTTCTGAGTCTAGCCCAGTCACTTTGAAGCGGGCTTTTCACCTTGGTTTAGGGGTAGACGTTCTCCATTCCCAAAGCCGGGGCTGGTGAGTAAATGGAAAGCAGAGTTCCAGCACAAGTAGTTGAAGACAAGGTCGGCTTGGGGGGTGCAGAGAGATGTGGGGCTCCCCTCTGTGTGTGTGGCTTTGCCCTTCTCCAGGGTGTAAGAAGACGGCAGACACGTGGCTGCTCGTTGGTGGTGGCTGCTCAGAAGCCCATCTCTGTGTCTCACTCAGCCTCTAGAATCGGGAGACCCATCCCAAGGCCACTGGGACCATCAGACAGAGGTCCCTGACTCTTTGTCCTTTCCCTCTCTGGCCAACTCAGGGTCGTCAGCAGGAAGTGCTACTGTTTCCTGGCCTCAGCCCAAGCCTACGGCGACGACTCCCACTGCAGACATCTGGGGTGACTTCACCAGATCCACCGGGTGAGGAGAGGGGCCGCGGGGCCGGGACTGTTTCCCTAAAAACCCTGAGCCAGTGCGGGTGGCCAAGCAGCAGCTCGGTGTGGACCTTGCTAGGACAGAGCCCCGATGTCTGCATTTGGTGCCACTCTCCACAGCTCCGTGTCCTGAGCCGGCTGTGGCAGTCTTTCCAGTCTTTCCCTCACCCACACCCTAGGGCCTCCATCTTCTCCCATCTCCCCAGAGACCCCAGAACTCCGGACTGAGAGAGAACGGGGGTTCTAGCCGTGGCCCAGCCTTCAGACGCATCTGCGCTTGGCTTCCCTCCTCCAGCTCCGGAATGTTCCTCGCCTTTCCCTGGCCACTGCCTCTTGCCCTCTTGTTACAGGGACAAGCAGTAGGACAGGAATGAGGACACCTTCTAAAGGAGAGCAAAGCGTTGCCACGGTGTGGGTCATCTGGCCTCAGCTCTGCACTTGTGGCTACAAATGGGCGTGGCCCAGTTACAGGAAAACTGAATAAAACCAGGCCGAACTTTGGGTCCGTGTGGGCTGTAGTTTGCATTTTCAAGCCTCTGAATCTCTGACTTCTTCCCCCCATCTTTCCCTTTACAGACCCGCTTCCAACCAGACCCAGCCAGGCACAGGCTGGGTGCAGTTTTGACTGGGCTCAGCTCTCTTTTCCCTCGTTCGGTTTCTGGAGAGGCCTGAGGAAGGAAGGAGGAACACACGCCCCGGCCAGCCTGTTTGGAGCCTGATTCCTTGCCTGACTCTCGACCCATGGGGCCCGTGAGACCATAAATCGGCACCATGTCACTCTTTCCCGTGGGATCCCAGTGTGTCCTCTGAGGGCAAAATGAAGCTCCGCAAGCATCCCTGGCCCCGTCTATCCTCGGGACACGAGAGAGGTCCTGAGACTGCCGCTTCCGCCACGATGACCCGGTTAAACGCCCAGCCCGGAGAGGGCCTGCAGGCTTCCCCGGCACGACCCGGCTCATGTGCTCCCTGTCCAGGAGGGGCTTTCTGCACTCCCTTTGGCGGTTCCACTGTCCCCGGCGCCCGAGGAGAGGTTCCTTTCTGATTCCTGGCACATTGATAGGCTGTAGCCTGAGCCGAAAAGCAGGAAGGAACTATGGAGTATCGGCCCACTTTTAAGAACTCTTCCTTGTTTTGCTAACATACTGATCTGCACTCACTTGTCTTTGCAAAAGGAACTGCGCGCCGCTTGCCCCACAGGGCACTCTGAAAGCACCCGCAGGCGGGAGCAGGAAGCTCCCGGGGCAGTGCTCAGCTCGGCCAAATGGCCTGGTTTCCGTTTCCCAGGCCAGGTGTGCATTGAAGGACCTAGACAGCTCTGTAGCCAGGTGGAAATGCTTGGACAGGAAAAGCCTTTTCCAGTGGGGGGATGGGAGGCCCTTCCTGTCCCCTGGTGGCTCTCTGGGCTCTCAGCAGTTTCCGGTGGCCTTAATTGTCTCCTTGGTGGCTCCTGAAGTGCCTTGTCTGAAGACAACCTCTTTGTTTCTGCTTCTGGGACTGTATCCGCCAGACAGAAGGAACCCAGAACAAACCAGAAGTCCGAGGTTGTCTGCATTACTGGTTTATTAGAAATTTTATCTGAGCACATCTCTGAATTTGCTTTTATTGACTTATTTTACCTCTTAGTTGTAAGATTTCTTTTCTGAAAGAATAAGACAACTGAAGAAACGAGTTGAACCGTTTCGTGGGACCAGATTTCTGATTTAAAAATAAATGTTTTTACTTCTGTTGAGTAACAGAACATGAGTGAGTATCCTGTTGAGTTTCAGCATGTTTTTAGATGCTCAAACCTCCAAGATGTCAGAGCTGCCCTTCGTGCCTCTGGAAGAGCACAGGCTTTGTCATTCTGGGGCAGCCCTGAAAGTCACTCCCATCATTCATTTGCTTAAGGACCCTGCAGTGAAAAGGCTGTGCTAAGTGCCTGACCCCCTCTGACCCAGAGGGGCTCCTGCCTCTAACTAAACTCTCTGCCAAAGTTTCTCCCTAAATGCTTGGGACAGAGAGATGCTACAGGACTAAGGCACTTACCTTGCCATGTCACCAATCCCAGTCCTGTCCCCAGCACTGTCAGGAGTTACTCCTGAGATCAGCAGAGAATGAAAAGGGCCTCAGCGCTTCCTGTGCCTTTGGGTTCTGTAAGAAGGATCCCTTTCTTGTAGTCCAGGGGAGACAAAGATCATTAGCCTGGAGGATCCCTTTCGCTGCTTTTGGGGCCCTGCCCAGAGTTGCTCAGAGATTACTCTGCACTAAGGAATTACGCCTGGCAGTGCTGTGGGACCACATGGGGTGCCAGGGATCGAACCTGGGTTACAAAGAAAGCTCCCTACCCGCTGTACTGTCACTCTGGCCCACAACAAAGGATTCTTGAGGAGTGAACCTCTTTGTTTATTTCGCATTACTTCCCATCTTGTAAGTGCTTAAAGTCAGAAAATGAAGATCAGGTTTAGAAAATTCTCCAATTTCTAGGTTGCAGGTTGGTAATCCAAGGTAAACCTTTTGGTTCTAGAGGTAGATTTGGGATTTGGATCTCAGGTGTTTCTGGTTAGACGTGAGACCACAGACTCTACTAATAAGTCTTCAGGGAGGCATAGAAAACCCTAGAAGTTCCCATTCCTGTAATTTGACCGTAAGCCTTTGTCTGGAATCACCCAGAATCATGAGTGCTGGTGATGGAGTAAGCACAGATCTCACTGGAAATATACCTGGAGGCATTTTGAAGGGGGCACAGGACAGGAGAATGTGCCCCATCATCAAGACGAGTCCCAGCTGAAAATCAACTATGGGATTAAGGTCCCCCAGGAAAACCACATTGTAAACCAGCATCTCTTCAAGTAGACCCTTGACTGGAGCTTCCAAACTGGTGGGAGACGGGGTGGTTAAAAAAGCATATGAGAGGCTGGAGCAATAGTACAGCAGGTAGGGTGGTTGTCTTGCATGTGATCCACCACCTGGGTTCAAGCCCTGGCGTCCCATATGGTCCCCCAAGCCCTGCCTGCAGTCAGCCCTGAGCTCTGCCAGGTGTCGCCCCAAAACCAAGAATGAAAAGCAGGTAAACATGGAGTGTGGGTTTGTGATTTGCTGTGCTCCATACCAGGAAGAATGATGGAGTGTAAGCGACAAAATGACCCTCGTGTGCTCCACTCATGGTGTTTGTGCCCTGGTGTAATTCTCCTCTGGGAGTAGGCTGGGTGGGTGGCTTCAGCCGACAGTACAGGTGAAATGTTGCCCAGACAATGTGAGCTTGAAGCCGTCCTCCGGTTGGTCCCTGAGAAGAGGCCGGCTAAGATGCAGGGCACCCAGCTAGGCTTGCTGACTCCTGACCCATGGGAACTCAACCAGTGTGCTACTGTAAGATGCGAGGTTGTGTCACTTGGTGGGTGGAAGGAGAGGGGAGACAAGGGTATTTGAAGATGGGAATGTGAAGCACCTAGATTAAGTGACTGGGAGGTCACGACGTGCTTCTTAGTGCCCTGCTTTCCCATTATGTTGACAGCTTTGCTGACGAAATAATACTCTGTGCTGTCCTATACACTTAAGTAAAATTTATTTTATTGTGTCCCCATTAACCCTGTGAGGGCTCACTCCCATTTTATAAATGAGGCTGAAGCCAGCTGAGATGATCGAATTTGCCCAAAGGCAGATGGGAATGGAACCCAGTTTGATTCAAGCATCTTTTTAAAAAAAAGTTGTTTTAGAGCCACACCCAGTAGTGCTCAGAGCTTACTCCTGGCTCTGTGCTCATGGATCACTCTTGGTGGTGTTCAGGGGACCATATGTGGTGCCAGGAGTCCCGGGTTGGATGCTTGTGAGGCAAGTACCTTATGCCCGTGCTGTCTTTCTGGTCCCAGCATCTTATTTTTATTTTTTATATATTTTTTTTGTTTTTTTGGGTCACACCCAGCGATGCTCAGGGGTTATTCCTGGCTCTGCACTCAGGAATTAACTCCTGGCGGTGCTTGGGGGACCATATGGGATGGTGGGGATCGAACCCAGGTCGGCTGTGTGCAAGGCAAACGCCCTACCTGCTATGCTATTGCTCCGGCCCCCCAGCATCTTATTTTTAACCAGGTTGATCTACTTGAGCTTACTGCCCGAGGAGCTGGCACGTAAGATGAGCTTGAGCCACAGAAACTCCCATTCCCTTCATCTGTGTTAAGAAAGAAAGGAGGAAAAAGGCACAGTAGGAGCCAGAGTGATGGTACAGCAGGTAGGGCATTAGCCTTGCATATAACCAATCTGGGTTTGACCCTGGCATCCCATATGGTCCCTGGAGTACCGCCAGGTGTAATCCTGAGTGCAGAACCAGGAGTAAGCCCTGAGCATTGCCGAGTCTGACCCAAAAAGCCCTCCCCCCCCCCCCACACACAACAATATGGCTAGTGTTGTGCAATGGACCACGGGTGGGCCATTATTCCACAGGTCACTGGAAGCCTGGAATGCAGCATGGGCATACGCTTCAATGGCTGTTAACTTCTCTATCAGAGACAGACTGGACAGTACCAGTCTCTGTGGATACAGTGGACTGGAGTTAGGAGTTTTTCCTCGCCGCAACTTGAATCAGTCATTGTCATTTTTCTTTTCCTGGAGGGTGAGGTGTGGGTTTAGGCCATTCTAGCAGAGTTTGGAAATACTCCTGGTAGTGTTCAGGGAGCCACACGTGGTGCCAGGGATTCAAAGCAAGATTGGCAATATACAAGGCAAGCGCCTTCACCTCTGTACTGTATCTCTGGCTCTAGACAGAACATGTTTTGGGGGATTAATGACAAAAAGTGAAAGAAAAAAAAACAGGTGCCAGGGAGCTAGAGGCTGGTGTGCATGCCAGGCATCCATGAGGCCCTGAGAATGATCCCTGACATCACATGCCCCTGAGCACAGTTCACCAGCAACCAAAAAGATACAGAACACAGACCAGGAAGATACTAAGATGGATACAGCCCCTGCTGACCTGGGTTTGATCTCTGCGTGGATTCAACCCCATATTGTTCCATGAGTCCCACCAAGAGTGATCCCTGAACACAGAACCAGAAAACCTGAACACTGCTGGGTGTGGAGCCCCTGCCCACCAAAAAAAAAAAAAAAAAAAAAAAAAGATACAGAACTAATAAAGAACTTTGTTTTGGGACCACACCTAGTGGGGCTCAGTGCTTACTCCTGACTCTGCACTCATAGCGGGCTTTAGGGATCATATGGGATTCTAGGGATCGAATCTGAGTCTGCTGCATGCAAGGCAAGTGCTTGTCCACTGTACTATTGCTCCGAACCCTAAAAGAACTTTTTAATCGCACTGTAGCACTGTTGTCCATCGATTTGCTGGAGCGGGCACCAGTAATGTCTCCATAATTAAAAAAAAAATTTAACTCAACCAGGCATTAGAGGTCCAGGGATGTAACTTGGAAGTAGAGCATTTTCTTTGCATGTATGTGGTTCAGGATTTGACCCCTGGCATCACACACACACACACACACACACACACACACACACACACACGGGTGAGGGGCTGTGGCTGGAATGATGGTACAGCAGGTAAGGCATTTGCCTTGCATGCAGCTGACCCAGGTTCTACCTCCAGCATCCCATACAGTCACCTGAGCACCATCAAGAGTAATTCTTGAGTGCAAGCCAGGAATAAGCCCTACACATCACTGGGTGAAGCCCCCAAACCATAGTGATGATAATAATAATAATAGTAATAATGAAATCAGGCATTATAGTAAGATTTTTGCAAGTTAGGGGCATGAGAGTACAGTAGGGCACTTGTCTGCCATGCACCTGACCCAGGTTCGATCCCTGGCACCCCATACAGTTCCCCAGCCACCAAAGGAGTGATTCCTGAACACAGAGTCAGGAGTGACCCCTGAGTACCAACAGATGTGGCCCCAAAACAAAAAAAAAACACTTTGCAAGTTAGCCTTAGGGTATCCTGAGAAGCAGCCAGAGGGGTTAGTGCAGGGGCTACAGGGCTTGCCTTGCCTTACCACAGACTACTTTCTGCTCTGAATCACCAGCACAGAGCACCTTCAAAAAAAAAAAAAAGTCCAGTGACTCCAATTAACTGGAACACTCCTCCTAAACCTCCTGGTTAATGTGGCTCTGCTGGTGGGCAGAGTCCAGCCCAGCTCAGCGCCCTAGGCTGGCAGGGACTAGGTCGGTCTGAGCAGCGGGAGGTGGGAGCTTCACTCACTTGTTTCCCAGCTATCTGAGTTGCGGGTTTTGGATCGTCCACGTTGGACAGGTGAGCACTGACAACTCCCTTTGCTGACTAGTCCTGGGTCTCTAGTTAGGGGGCAGGGGCTGGGGGAGGGCAGCCCTGGGATTCAACAAAGCCACTGAGAGTCAGCACAGCAGGAGAGTCAGTCTCCCAGAGGAGGGGGCTGGAGGAGCCTCCCTGCAGCTGTCCTCTGGGGGCAGCCGGGCTTGCTGTGCCTCCCCAATTTAGAGATGAGCAACACTACAGAGAGTCAAAGGGCATCATATCCGTATTGGAGGCCCCGGAACTTCCTGCTGTGTGTCCTGAGGCAAGTGACTACCCCTCTCTGAGCTGCGTCTATAAAACGAAATCATCCTAGGACCTGTTTCAGAGCCGAGATCCTGCTTTACAAAAGGATTGAGAGGGACTATGGACAGAATGAGGAGCTATAGAATGATGATTCACAGCCGATGGGAGGCTGCTGCCCTGGGAAATCCAGAGGCCAGGGGTCTGTGCAGGTGTGCTGCAGAGAAGGGGACCACTAGG